TACTGAGATATATATTCTGTACTGGGAACCATGTATATCTTCATGGTCGAGTATCAATCTCAGATCAATACCAATTATAAGTGGCTTGACTTATTCAAATTTTATATAAAAAGAAAGTCTATGCCTTTATGATTTCTAGGAACATTTTAGATTGCTAGTCCTAATGGTTCTGGATAAGCTACCTATATTTAATAATTTCTCATGGCTAATCAGTTGAAATATTTTGAGGAAAATCAACTTCTAACGAGCTAGGAATAGGCCGGGAATGGGCTTTTTACGGGTTATTAGTGGGCTTTACGAGCTTTTCTCGAGCTTTACGGGCTCTTTTTCGAGCTTTATGGGCTTTTTTCGAGCTTTATAGGCTTTCTTCGAGCCGGTCCCACTTATTGTAGACAATTTAACTAATCATCTATTACTGTTATCACCCTCTATTTTGATCTATCGATTATTGATTTAACTAGCCAAGTAACACTTCTAGGTGGTCGAGCTTCTTGTAACGTATCAACACTCCTTTATGGATTCTCAAAAGCCCTTACAGTTATAGGTTTTATTAACTCTGCGATGTCCCAAAGTCAGCAGTCCGAGTTTACATCATCCTAATTCGGAGGTGACTACGATAACTTATCCTACCTTATACCCTCTAATTATCCAGCTACGCTATCGACAAGCTAACAGACTTTTGATGTCTCCGTACCGGCTTTTCTTCGACCAGACGACCCTCCCTTACTCCCCCAGCTTGAACGATTTGAACGTGTCGGACCCGATCGGAAAAGGTTATACTTCTTGTATAATAGAATGAATCACTAAGAATGGGTAGAGTGGTGGTTACAAACTGATTATGGATCAAAGGGTAAGGTCGTATAGCACTCAAATCATCTTTTATATGTCTGGGAGCACTTTACCCAGGTAGCCTATAGCAGCGATGGCAGCCCAAAGGTTATGTGTAAGTATTGCTCTGCGATCCTTGAGCATCCTTATACAGCCAAAAAAGATGCGAACGGGAAGGATACGCGTTATGGTACAACTACTATAACTAGGTATCTTCGGACTTCTACCTGTAAAAGGGCTATAAGTGGAGATCAGCAACGAGGGCGACTCGATAAGTTTATTCAGTCAACAGTATGGATATCCCTCTAGTACGGTTCGTACCACTAATATAATTAAAATAGGAAAATACCATCCGAGAGCTATTCTCCGAGGTAGCTTGGGAGGACAATCTGTTACAGTTTATCACGATCAATCGACTTCCCTTTCACCTTATCGAATATCCAACGTTTCGACGGATAATATTACAAGTACACTCGGCCCTAAGCCTACTATCTATCCCCTCTGCTGATACAGTTCGACGTCGACTATCTGCTCGTGTGAAAGAACGTCAACACTCTACACTCAAACTACTTCCAGTAGATGCAAAAATTTCAATTGCATTGGATTGCTGGACTTCACCATTCGGACAAGCATTTATGGCTATCACTGGCTATTTTATTGATATTGATTGGTCCTACCGGGAGGTGCTTCTTGGGTTTAAACCCCTCGAAGGTGCTCACACTGGTGCTAATCTAAGTGGTGTCCTCTTAGAGATACTTACTGATCACAACATCCAGGATCGTGTGTTTGGGTTAACCACGGATAATGCATCGAATAACAAGACCCTTATTAACTCGCTACAACAGGCATTGTCGAGCGATATTTATATTATCCGAATACCCTGTCTTGTATATGTTATCCAATTGAGTCTGAACCAACTTCTTGATCGCTTAAAAGCAGTCCCTCTAAATGATACTGCTGAGACCAAATGGTCTAATCGCCAATCAATACTCGCGAAAGCAAATGCCCAAAGCAAAAATCGCAGTATATCTCATACTTTGAACAAGGTACAGTATCTTGCTGTTTATATCCGGGCTAGTCCCCAACGTCGCGAAGCTTTTGTCAGTCTTCAGCCCTCAGAGCAGGCACTTATGCCACTTCAGGATGTGAAGACTAGGTGGAACTCAACGTTTCTTATGCTTCGCCGGGCAAAGAGGCTCCGTGATTTCCTTGGTACATTCTGTACAGACTATAACTGCGAGGAGATAGCACTTAACAACGACGAATAGCGTCAGATCGATTACCTTCTTTGTCTCACAAAGCCATTCTACGAATACACTCTTGCGCTTTCAAAGACTCGAGATGTGACTGCATATCTAGTATTCCAGATCTACAATATATTGTTTGAGCACCTTAAGAAGTCTATCAAGCAGCTTCAACGAAAGCGTGTCCCATGGAAACAACAGATACTTTCCTCCCTTGAGGCTGGCCGATTGAAGCTTGATGAGTACTATTCGCAGACAGATCATGATCGTGATCACCTTTATACGATTAGTACTATGCTGGCGCCAGATAACAGGTTCCAATTCTTTCTCTCCGATAATTGGACGAAGGAATGGCGTGATAAATATCGAGCCTCATTCCAAGATACTCTCTTACCTTACTAAGAGCGTTATACTACTAGTCAAGGCCTACCAGTCTCCTCTCCTAGATTAAGGCCAAGCACAGCTCTTTATAATCTGCTTCGCCCAAAGAAACCTAAAGCGAAGCCGGTTAGTGACGAGATAACCCAGTATCTTGATGGTGGTAAGTTATACTCTTCTTCTGATCTTATTTCGATGAATATTCGTTACTAATTCTATATAGATATTGTTGATTCTGAGCCGCTGCCCTTTTGGCGAGAGAACCACGGTCGCTTTCCTGCGATTGCTTCGCTTACGCGGGATATTCTTGCAATTCCAGCAACTGGTGCAGGTGTAGAACGATTATTCAACACTGCTCGCGATATTTGCTATTATCGCCGCGGTCGTATGAAGTCTGAGACTATTGAAGAGTTGATGCTATTTCTTTGTTCTTCAAGATTTGACCTTGAATTATATAAGGCAAAAGAGCTTGAACGATTCTTCTCTTTGAATGAGATCGAAGCATTAAGAGAGGAAAAGGACGATAAGCTTGATAATGTTGAATTTGAACAGATTAGTGATACAGAAGAACAGCCTGAGAGCTCGGGGGGTTTGATTGATGTTGATGATGATAATACTGGTGATGATGATGCTGGCGATCCTCCATTGCCAATTTATAGTACTCAGCCACGTATGTCAGGGAGGAAAAGGAAGCATATAGAGGATGATATGTATCAGTCTCATTAGTTTACACTGGATTTAATTATAATACATTGATATATGCGTGAACGAATCAACGATTTATTGAATTTGAAGTGAACGATGTAATCGAAATACTCAAAATTACTGGGAATTCCTGCATTATTTGTGCAGTCACGAGAAATTGGTATGTTTGCACTGTTTAGTCGTAGGGGGGGGCTCGGGGGCCCCCCCCTTCGAGCTGTGGGCCCAAGCCTAAAGCCCGAAACTCGCTGTGGGCTTTGACCTTAGGCTCGAAACCCGACCCTTTTGAGGGTCGGGTCGGGTCGGGTTTCGGGCTTTTCGAGCTTTGCGGAAGTCTAATGATTGTTTGGTCAACAGCGGTAAGCCGAGTTTATTATATCGGTAGTTGAGGCTTTGTCGGGGCGATTATAGGAAATTGTTGTCTAGGTAGCCCGGGCCTAGTATACTGGAATTGTTTGTAGAGGTAAAAAAATCTCACCGCAAGATTTTATGACTTATCACAGACGCACCAAGAACCTAACGCGCTCTTACAGGCATACATCGACGATTGATTGGTCAATAAGAGGTGATTGCTCATATATTAGAATACCTCTATATGATATAAATGTCTCCACGTAATATAAATGCTGAGAGGAACCCTTGGTGTGTACCGAGAGGGAATTAACGCCCGGCGAATTGATACACCTCCACCCCTAGAGACCACCACTGACCTCACTAAGGAACAAGAGCTATAATTGACAGTCGGAAATAAGACTAGAGACTTCTTTACCTCTTCAGACCTAGCCGGCCGAGTAGACCATACCAACTCCTAGACTGCGACATTACCCATCTATAGGCACTAGGAAGTGTCCACGGCCCGTGGGCATTACGAAAATTGACGCCCATCGCCTATCATTATACAATATTAAGACGCTAAAAGTGTGTCCACTTTAATAGGCATTGTCGCAGTCTACCAACTCCCATAGGACCAAAAAAAGGTTGGTCCTATATCCTAGTCTCACGCGAGCATAACTTTGCTAAGGATTTTCTATTTCGGCTGTATAAATCTGCTAGGTAATCAGGTAAATCTTTGATTAGTTATAGAAAGAATTTCTATATAACTTGTATAAGTCACGTTTTTCTGTATATTTGCATTTTTTACAGTCCCATAGGAGCGGACTAGTATATCACTCTATATCTTGGCACTCCTATACAAGGCTGGCGGAAATATATCCGAACAAGGACTAGTGCGCCTAAGGTAGGGCCTCGGGTGGGAAAGAGAGTGAGAACTGAGTTAAAACTGATTTCGAATATTACTGTACCCCTTCGGCACATACACTTTGCTCTCGGCCTATAATCAAAACGGGTAGATACCAAATTTAGCTAAGCCGTAAAAAAGGGCCCTTTCTGAATGGTCACAAACTTACCGCCCACTCTAAAACGGATTAACCTTGTTTCGGTTACACGCCGAGAAACACAGTGTATAAAGGGGGAGGAATTCTTTGACTTCATATTAGAAAATTGAAGGATGACTTAAAGCTACCGTAAAACAAAAAGGGGAAATACTTATAATGCAAGAAACCGCCTCAAGTGTGGAAAAAGGGAGATAGTAAAGTGTCGCTTTCAAACACATTATCATTTACTCCTAGCAAAGGAACAAGTTGTCTGACTTAAACCAAGTTCTGGTTTATATATCGTGCCGTTTTAGTATCCAAGCTATCGAGCAGATAAAAGGATTGAACAATTTGCTCTCGAAAGAGCAATATAGAAAATCTAAGTCCTCTTACTTTTGACAATATAATATCCTATAATAATTTCTATCAGACTCGCTATATACGGATAGTTATTGATTCAGATCAATTACTATAGGAATACAATATTCTTGCCAGTTTAGCACACTGGATATTGCTTACGGGATATCTGGTTATTCCCGGAACATTTATATTATTGCAGAAGTCAGATACACTGAAACAAGGGCTGTTAAAAGATAAAACTGGGGAGGCTATTCTGAACACTATACAGAATCCACCGCTACTAGCCACAGCTAGTGTCTTCTTTATGATTGGTTGTGCTATTATATCATAGCTATATTGGCGATTCCAACAAAACTACATTTGGCTTGTAAATAGGTTATTTATATAGGTGTTTAAATTATATATATACCAGTCAAGCAGTTCTAATATCTATCTACTGCAAGTCCAACTCTCCCCAATACCCTAGCGGGGCTTCTAATAACTATCGTCAATATATACACAGCAAAAGACGGCGATTGGTCAATTATAGCGCTTTTGACTTTCGTAGCTTCAAGTCTGTCTGTGGCCTCCTCTGCTTTTCTTATATATATATATAAGTTTAGAAAGCTTAAGATGGTTATAGAAGAACATCATCGTGAGATTGAAGCTCAGATTAACAGGGTTAATACAATAGGGTAGGATAATAGCAAAATAATTGAGGCTACGTGCAGTATATCCCAAAACTAGCGCGACTACTTTACGGTGCTAAAGATTCCTTGTAAGGTATATAGATTATTGTATATATATATTATAAAAAGCGGTCTAGATATGGTGTGCCGGCTTAAGAGACTAAAATAGCTCGCACATTAACGTAGCATCGATTGAATTATAGTTTTTCCTTCGTAGGTTCTAATTTTAGTACAACATTCTATATCTTCGTCAAAGCGAAAAACTTTCGACCTTATCCATTAGAATAGGAGAATACTGTATAGGAGTCTGATTAGATTTTTGCAAAGTCCTACAGTAACAGATGGCACTAGCTAATAAGCTTGAGCTGGTGATGAAGATTCGAAATCGATGAGAAGCCATTCTTGGCATACAGGGCCGCTCGAAATCAGCTTCATCTTTGTTTTCTTTTCTTTTCTTTTCTGAACTTTATTCTGAAACACGCTAGTCCCCCTTTGGTTTAGTCTATTAATGGGTCTTGAAATATTTCGTAAGGATAAATTACAAGTATGCGGAGCTGTAACCTTTCTGAAACACAGTACAATCGTTACGCTACGGTTGACCACAAGGTTCGTCACTTTGATTAGAGCGTTGGTCTTCTGCGGCATCTTCGAGGAAGATAGCGCTAAGTTCACGTATTGGACTCCTAAATAATGTAAATGGAAAGACACATCATCTCTCAAGGTGATCATAAGGGAATATAATCAAGGCGGGCGATTTCTGTCTCGAATCAGATCACCTGATAGCGGGGTAGACTAGGGATTGGGAGATCCAAGCGTGGATTTGAGCCTCCTCAAAACTCTTACGCAACGGCCATAGCAACTACGATTTCCCAAGGCGAAAAAAGCTCTAGTTTTCAGGCAGGGGTGATAAACGGCAACATTGGAAATATCACTATTGGTAAGCAGTAAGAAATAGATATGACTGTAATCTACGGCTAGTAATAGTGATCGGCTTCAGTACAATCCGAAACGCTGAATCAAGAATATCTTCGTGATTTGCATACCACCAACCCTATCGATAATAAAAAACGTATCAAAAATGACAAGGGCGGGCTACTCAAAGACTCATATCGCTGGATTCTAGACAACAAAGAGTTCAAACAATGGCAAGACAGCGAGAGAAATCGCCTTCTCTGGATCAAGGGTGATCCTAGTAAAGGCAAGACGATACTCCTCTGTGGTGTCATCGAAGAGCTAACGGGATTGTATAGGGATAATACGAGTATCTCGTTCTTTTTCTGTCAGGCTACCGATATACGGATCAACAGTGCTACATCTATCCTGAGGGGTTTGATATATTTACTTATCAAGAAGAACCCATCTCTTCTCCACTATATACGAACTCGGTACGACTATACAGGAAAGACTGTCTTTGAGGATATCAATGTATAGAGCGCACTGTCAACAATCTTCAGGGATATTCTAAACGACCCGAAACTGCAGATAACTTATTTGGTAATCGATACCTTAGATAAGTGTACCAGTGGGCTCCGTACCCTTCTAGACTTAATTGTCTAGGAATCCTCAGTCAATCCACAGATAAAGTGGGTTGTTTCTAGCCGCAACTAGCCTGAAATCACTGAGCGACTTGAAATTACTACCCAGCTAGCTCCAATCTCATTAGAGCTGAACGAGGCGTCTATGTCTGAAGCAGTGAATCAATTTATTCAGTATAAAGTTGACGAATTAGCCAAAGCGAAAAGTTACAGCGAAAAAACTCGCGACGGTATTCAATCCTACCTATCGTCAAACTCGCAAGGTACCTTCCTCTGGGTGGCCTTAGTGTATCAGAATCTCGAAAAGATACAATTCAATGTACTGAAGAAGCTAAAATTATTTCCTCCTAGGTTAGAGGCTCTATATAGTCGAATGATTAGCCAGGTTTGCGAATCTGAAGATACCGAGCTCTGCAAGAAGATACTGGCAATTATATCAACAGTTTTTCGGCCTATTACGCTACACGAACTAACTTCATTTATTAAACTACCGGATAAAGTTTACGATAATCTTGTTTCTCTTGAAGAGATAATCGCAATCTGTGGATCTTTTTTCACGTTACGGGAACATACTATTATATTTGTTCATCAGTCTGCAAAGGAATTTTTACTCAAGGAAGCACTCAGTGAGATACTTCCTAAAGGTATAGAGGCTGAACACGACATAATATTTGTACGATCTCTCGACGTTATTTTCAAGACACTTCAACGGGATATCTAGAATATCAAATCACCTGGAATCCACACGAAGGATATCTGCAAACCTAGCCCAAATCCACTAGCAGCGGTGGAATACTTATATATCTACTGGATGGACTATCTTGAAGCTAGACTACTTAATGAAGCTTATAAGCTGGGAGTTTGTGACAGAGGTCGCGTGGATACGTTTCTGCAGCAGAAACTCCTCCACTAGCTCGAAGCTCTTAGTATTTTGGGAAGTGTTTCGGATAGCATCCAAGTGATACAAAAGCTCGAGATATTGATTGAGGTGAGTGGTAAAAATATTATAGAGATGATCTTTTCTTCTGACAAGGGGGGCACTTAAACAGGAGAGAAAAGAGTCAGGTATACTTTTGAATCGAGCTCGAGACACCTCTAGGTTTATTCGATATCATAGAACAGCGATAGAAAGCAGCCCTCTGCAAGTATATTACTCGCCTCTTATATTTAGCCCATTAATAAGTCTCACAAGGTTGTCCTTTCAGGATCAAAGACCAGAATGGGTTCTGAATAATCCTGTAAAGACAGAAGAATAGAGTCCCTGTTTTCAAACTTTTGAGGGTCATAGTGATAGGGTCACGTCGGTTACCTAGTCGCCAGATAGAAGCCGACTCGCATCAGCATCTCACGATAAGACAGTCAGAATCTGGGATCCGGCTACCGGCCAGAGCATATCAACTCTCGATAAGCATAGTGGTACGGTCATATCAATATCCTGGTCGCCAGATAGAAGCCGACTCGCATCGGCGTCAGGTAATAAGACAGTTAGGATCTAGGATCCGGCTACCGGCCAGAGTATATCAACTCTCGATAAGCATAGTGGTACGGTTATATCAATTTCCTGGTCGCCAGATAGAAGCCGACTCGTATCGGCGTCAGATAATAAGACAGTCAGGATCTAGGATCGGGCTACCAGTCAGAGTATTTCAACCCTTAAGGGGTATATTGGTTCGGTTATATCGATTGCCTAGTCGCCAGATAGAAGCTAACTCGTATCGGCGTCAAATAATAAGACAGTAAGGATCTAGGATCCGGTTACCAGCGAGAATATATCAACTCTTGATAGGCATGGTAGTGAGATAATTTCGATTGCCTGGTCGCTAGATAGAAGCAGACTCGTATCAGCGTCTAATGATAACACAGCCAGGACCTGGGATCCGGCTACCCGCCAGGCTTTATTAATCCTTGAGGGGCACAGCGCCTGGGTTAACTCGATTGCCTGGTCGCCGGATAGAAGCAGACTTGCATCGGTATCAGAAGATAAAACAGCCAGGGTCTAGGATCCGGCTACCGGCCAGAGTATATCAACTCTCGGTAGGAATAGTGGTTCGCTCTGGTCGATTGCCTGGTCTCCAGATAGATACCGACTCGCATTAGTATCTGGTGATAGGATAGTCAGGATCTGGGATCCGGCTACTGGCCAGAGTATATCAACTCTCGATAAGCATAGTGAGGAGATCATATCGATTGTATGGTCGCCAGATAGAAGTCAAATTGTATCAGCGTCTTATAATAACACTGTTAGAATCTAGAATCCGGCTACTAGCCAGAGTATATCAACTCTCGATAGGTATATTGGCTCGGTTATATCGATTGCCTGGTCGCCAGACGGAAACCGACTCGCGTCAGCGTCTGTGGATAAGACAGTCAGGATTTGGGATCTAGCTACCGGCCAGAATATAATAACCCTCGATAAGTATAGTGGTACAGTTATATCGATTGCCTGGTCGCCAGATAGAAGCCGACTCGTATTAGCGTCTGTTTATAGGACAGTCAGGATCTAGGATCCGGCTACCGGCCAGAGTATATCAACTCTCAATAGGTATAGTAATTCGGTTATATCGATTGCCTAGTCGCTAGATAGAAGCCAACTCGTATCAGCGTCTTGTGATAAAACAGTTAGGACCTAGGATCCGGTTACCGGCCAGAGTATATTAACCTTCGAGGGGCATAGTGATTGGGTCTGGTCGATTGCCTGGTCGCCAGATAGAAGCAGACTCGCATCAGCGTCAAGGGATAAAACAGTCAGGATCTAGGATCCGGCTAGTGGCCAGAGTAAATCAAATCTTCTTCTTGCCTTCATCGACTCTCTTCAATTCGAGAACGATAATATCAATCTTCTGCGCACAAATAACGGTATATATAATATAGGCTCAAAAGGTCCGATAACGCCTATATCGGACGACTCTATCTTACCGCTTAAGCAGTATAGATACGGATTAAGCCAGGAAAGTTCCTGGATTACCTATAATAGTCTTAACCTACTATAGCTGCCTCCGGATTATCGCCCTTCACGTTCCTTCTATTTTGCCAAACAGACAAACACATTGGCAATCTGCTCATCGAGTCGTCTCATATTCCTTATATTTTCACAACAGAATCCCATTTCTAGCCTTTAATCGGACATTTTATAAACCGAGATTTACATTTGCATCGTTATCTAACTATTGCTCCTCGTAAGTGCCGGTGATTACTCAATATACAAAATAACAAAGTTTAGGATCACTCAATCACCCTTAACGATCACACTTTATATTACGCAACTAAGTTTTCTATTCGAAGAACTACTCTTTATTAATCATTCTGATCCGTAAATACATTGAACAGCTACTCAGTCAAATATATATACAGGTAATATTCAAGAGCACAGTATATAATTCTAAGGTCAAACATATCGGTCTGCTTCCTATTGTTCGCAGTGAGCAACACCCGCAACTTTCGGATCGCCAAGACAAAATAGCTTCCCAGGAGCCGCAGTGCCCCTCAGTCACGTGCATTTCCCAATACCCCAGCTCCCCCCAGTATTCAATCAAAAATCATTTCGTCCGCTCCCTGATCAGAGGGGTGAGTGAGCAGGGTAAGTATAGAGAAAACCGCTCTCTACCGTTATACCAACGCAATAATAGTCAACCTCCAGCGACTCCGCGCAAATGGCGCCTCGGCTCCCCCCCTCCAAACTGGAGATAATTCGTGACATAATATATAGCGGATCCTTGAATACATCACAGATAGCCGCGGCTGCTGAGTGTAGCCAGCGCTCTATAATCAGTATTCGTAACAACCTTCGCCTGTTCGGCAATATCAGAGCTCCATCAACTCGCGTCGGTCGGCGACGTAGCATTACACCGCCAATAATACAGACTCTCTATAACTATCTTCTCGAGAAGCCCGGATTATATATAGATAAGATAGTTCTGTTTCTATAGGATAAGTTTTATACTTGGGTGACAAACTCGAGTCTCAAGCGGGCTCTTATCTCGGTCGGCTGGTCGAAGAAGGTGGCTCGACAGAGAGCAAAGGAACAGAATACTGATTTGCGCGATTACTCTCTCCACAATATATCGGAGTTTAAGTTATACCATCTGGTATATATAGATAAGTCGGGATGTGATAAAAGGATTGGTTGCAGACGTACTGGGTGGTATCCGCTAGGCCAGACGCTATTACAGATCTCTAAATTTCATCGCGACCAGCGATACCAGATCTTGCCTGCGTACACATAAGACGGCATTGTGCTTTCTCGTGTATTTCAAGGCTCAACTGATTCGGCTGTGTTCGAAGATTTTATCGAGCAGCTCCTTCAGCACTGTGGAAGGTAGCCGGAACCGAAATCCGTGATTATCATGGACAATGCATCCTTCCACCATTCTGACCAAATCAAAAAGATATATACCGATACTGGAGTAAAGCTGATATATTTACCACCTTATTCGCCTGATTTAAATCCTATCGAGGAGTTTTTCTCGGAGCTAAAGGCGTTTATCAGGCGTCACTGGCGAAAGTATAAACAGAGCCCGGAGCAGGGGTTCGATACTTTCCTTGAGGGATATATCGAGGCTGTAGGATCTCGGGAACAAAGTGCGATCGGCCATTTCCGGCATACTGGCGTAGTCGTCGAAGACCAGCCTAGAGCCACAGTATCCAGAGTATAGTACAGTCGTTCTCGAAATCGGCTTGACAGATACACTCTTCGTCACTCTTTCTAGCCCCACCGCCGAGGCCTTAGCGCAGATCAATTATTGAGCGGGCCGCATTAAATTGAGGGATACCTTAAGAGGCCCTTAGTATAGTATTGTATCTTACTCGTAAGATTACACAATATATACAAGAATTCAGTGGAATTCTATAGAAGCCGATAGTGGGCTTCGCTTCTGGAAATTATACGGAGGGGGCCGCCTCGCACCTAGTTCCTAGACGATCTGCCAGGTAACTGGTGCTACGTGGACTGTAAGTACAAATAGATAAGCAAACAGGGCCTGCTCCTACAGCTACGGTATCATACGGACTCCAGATACTGAGGGTGTAGTCGTTGCCAGATTAGTCCGTCCAGCGCGTTTCGTCTTATATCCTACTACTCTCGGATAACTAATACTAACACAGCAGCTTTACAACGTTTATTATCCAGCCGCGCTAAGTCCAGGGCGCTACTGTGTCGAGAATTGGGCAAAATTTCCATGGCTCTAATTTAAGAGATAATACGAGCTATATCATCAAAAATATAAATTCTTGGGCCCAAATTCAGAGTTGACATTAACCTAGATTATATCAGAATACTGCGTAGGGAAGTCTATAGTTACAGTACGTAGCGATTTCTTAACTAAGCAGCCTCTGTGGCAAAACCTAGCTAGTCACATAGATTGTCGACTCTATTAGTTATTACTGGAACTTTATAGAATATTCCTCAAAGAGGATAGAGTCGTATAAATTCTTATCTTCTCCCAGACCCTTCTTTTATAAAGAGATTAGAAAATAAAGGAAAGAGCGGAAACAAAAATCATTAACTCCTACATACGAAACTCGACAAACGAAATCCGCCCTGATACGTGTCCTAGGGCAAGTACATTACCGTTAATCTTGAAACAGCTAGGCCGAGACTCGATAGGAAGCTATAGAACCCTTTTACCATTCAATATTATCCATTGCTTGTGCTCAATAGAGATATCCAGAGTCGCATAAGGCGGATAAGACGTAGGAATAACACACCTAGATTGAATATAAAGGGCGCCTAAGTTGGTGTGGAGGTATAAACCGTTATAGGAAAATTGGAGCGTAGTGACCATTTCTTCAACTTCGAGGGTCTAGGTAAGCGCGCCCGTCGCCGGGTCCCAGAGCCGCACTGTCTTATCATCAGAGCCGGACGCCAGCAGGCGGCCGTCGGGCGAGAAGGCCACCGATCGAACCGGTCCGGAATGGCCTTTGAGGGTCTGGGTGAGCGCGCCCGTCGCTAGGTCCCAGAGCCGCACTGTCTTGTTATAAGAGCCGGACGCCAGCAGGCGGCCGTCGGGCGAGAAGGCCACCGATCCAACTGATCTAGAATGGCCTTCGAGGGTCTAGGTAAGCGCGCCCGTCGCTGGGTCCCAGAGCCGCACTGTCTCATTATAAGAGCCGGACGCCAGTAGGCGGCCGTCGGGCGAGAAGGCTACCGATCCAACTGATCTAGAATGGCCTTCGAGGGTCTGGGTAAGCGCGCCCGTCGCTAGGTCCCAGAGCCGCACTGTCTTATTATAAGAGCCGGAAGCCAGTAGGCGGCCGTTAGGCGAGAAGGCCACCGATCGAACCGGGCTAGAATGGCCTTCGAGGGTCTAGGTAAGCGCGCCTATCGCCGGGTCCTAGAGCCGCACTGTCTCATCATTAGAGCCGGAAGCCAGTAGGCGGCCGTCGGACGAGAAGGCTACCGATCCAACCGAGCTGGAATGGCCTTCGAGGGTCTGGGTGAGCGCGCCCGTCGCTGGGTCCCAGAGCCGCACTGTCTCATTATTAGAGCCGGACGCCAGTAGGCGGCCGTCGGACGAGAAGGCCACCGATCGAACCCAGCTGGAATGGCCTTCGAGGGTCTAGGTAAGCGCGTTCCATCCTTCCTCAACTTATAGTAACTGATATATCCAAGTAGGAAGCGACCGCTTAAACTCTCTACGGATTATCCCCGTTCGGGGTGCAAATATAAGTCCTGCACAATAAACTTAAAGGGGGGCCTAATCAACTATCTAGCGATTTTTCAGAATAAAGCGCTTTGCATCGTAAAGGAAATCCGAAATCAGGGAAGAGTCGTTACCCTAAGGCTGTTAGTATATACCATATATAATTATCTTCGGAACTTACCGATATAGACATTTGGAGGCGATCAAGAATACCTAATACTTCTGACGTAAAGCCCAGTAGGCTCATTGCTTCCACCCAGTGCAAAAAGTGCACCTAGAGAAATAAATAAGTATTGTGCATCATACCAGACAAGTCCGTGTATTGTAACAAATAATACACCCAGTATTGACAGGCGTATTTCAGTTAGGGAGGTATATAATGCTGAATCGAATCATCGCTAATCTTATTCCTTTACGTGCCTTCGCTTAGCAGTTTGCAGATGTTTTTCTCTAGGCTGTCCTGCATAATCTGACGGTATCGTTCTGCAAGACACTGGTTTATATATTTTTCATCGATCCAGAATTTGCTTTTGTCTTAGTGGTGATCCAAAAGAAAATCTCGGAATAACAGATAGAGGAGCCTGACTGGCGTATCGAAATTGTTTGGTACACTGAGCACCGAGTGGAGCTGGTCTAATCGACATTTGACATCATCTGACTCTATATCTATTAGGTGGCTAAGGGAGTTGATCGAGAGCGGAGTGGCAAGAATAATGATCACCCCAACTATCTCCTTGAACTCTTCGAGTAATTTCTGTGACTCTGTTTTATTCTGGCCAGTGAGAAGTTGCTTTAGCACGGGAATATATATACTGTCCATCTTGGACATATAGGTTGATTGGTCTGTCAATATCGCTTCAAGTCGCTTTTAAGGGTTCTATTTTGCATCACCGATAAAACGACATAGGGTAGCAGCTGCAATAAATAGAGGGACGGCCCTATCAACCAATTCCTTAGTAGCTGCGTCTCCGGGCCAGTCTGGTGGAAACGAGCGCCTCTGTTTCAGGCGCACGAACTGATCCTCAAAATACAAGGATATATCATACTCTATCACTGGCTTTTCGATCTTATATAGGACCAAATCCTGATAGGCATCGATGATCCCTTCGAAGCCCAGCCTGATCGGCAACTCAGGTCTGCTTGTCAATAAAAACCGTAGCTGCACGGAAGTTGACTTTCGAACTTATGGTAAGAGCCGGAGAATAATCCCTATATCATCTTCTAACTCGCATTCATCTAGAGCATCAATCACGATCACTCTTCTTGTGGTCTCTTCGCGCTGCTCAATTCCAGATAGTAGATCCAGTAGAAGCTTTTCAAATTGTTCTCTTAACACCTTTTCCGAAATATTAGGGTCATCGTCAATTGCCTTTTGAACTCGAGGCAGCATTTGAGGTATACTGATAACCAGTTACTTAGTCAATGTTGGGAAAAGCTTTTTTACTGTTCCTCTGTCCTCTTCACCTCTCCGAAAGAAGAAGCTGGCCCCGAGAAGCTCCTGCTCTTGAAGACGGCTTACAACTGTTTAGGAGATTGTTGATTTTCCTGTCCCTACTATACCGTTCAACCAGAATATACATTTTCCGTGTGGCGATTTTGCCCACTCGTCGATTTCTCGAAGCAGGTCAATCCGGGTCCCCGGGAGACATTCACTATATTGATTGTCGTAGGAATCGAATACTGCTTGTTTTACAGTCTGTAGTTTGCTAAGGTCTATCTTTTTGTAGATCGAATTGGTAGATCTCCTAAGTCAGTGTTAGAGTTAGCCTTTGATATAAATAATTAAGAGATCGGATTATAGTCCGGAGCCTACATTTAGTCAACCTGTAAGGACAAAGCAAATATTGTTTTGTACCACTCAAGCTCTATAATAGCAGAATCTACCTCCGACCGTACGAGCGGCTATTTCAAGGCTCGAAGGCCCTATTTCCTTATCCGTCTTTGCGTCGTTTTCGGATTGATTTTCTCTTTTAAATTTATAAGTGCTGAAGAGCATTTAGCAATATTGTCGACTAGGTCTTACGTAGCAGTAAGTTCATTACCATCAGATCCACGGATCAGCTTATCGAGAGATTGAAGAACTTAGGCAAGGGCGGCGATCTTCTCTTAGAAGCGCTGAATATCCTGCGTTGCGTTCTTAACGTTATTGAGATATTTTCCATATATTTACACGATACCTCCGGTTAACTGGATAACTGCGATCACACTTACTGCACCCGAAAGAGGATCTATGGTTAACAAGCCTTCCACGGTATTAATAATATCAAAAGTCAAAAGTAATACATCGCAAAGGATAAAGGCAAAAGAGAGCTTATACCCCTCAAAGAGGGGAAGGCGTCAAAGTGAGGCTAAGAGCAAAACTGTACCCTGATTGGCGCTTACCCGATCGATTAAGTCACGTGACTACCACAAGGGGTCGTTTATTTCTACCTAAGTAGAAACCCTTACAACCATTGGCTACGCTAGGTATAACTCAGTTCAAAATAGCATTCAATAGAATATTACGAATAAGGGACACTTAAGAGAGTAGGAAGATCGGTCTAGGGGCCTATGAGTGTGTATTAGGGACTTGTTCTAGACCAAGACACCCCGGAATAATTTCCAGAGGCCCACTATCGGCTTCCATTGAATTCCACTGAAGTCTCGTACGTATTGTATAATCTTACGAACACGATAAAATACCATACTCAGGGCATCTTACAGTATTCCTCAATTTAATACGGCCCGCTCATTGATTAATCTACGCTAATACCTTGGCGGTGGGGCCAGAAAAGAGTGTCGAACAGTGTATCTGTTAAGCCGATTTCGAGAACGACTGTATTGATCTAGTTAGACATAATACTTCGTTTTTGGGATAATAGAGGGGCATTGTGTAAGGCATTCTATACTTATAATAGCGTGTGAATTATATATATCAAGCTAATAAAAGTGATAGAACTAGATTATAAATCTAAATCTATACAAAGCTACCACTTATTCCAATAGGGGGTCTTCCTATTGATTTCTTATCTCTCCCACCCACTTAATAATATCACCGACAAAGCGGCGTGCAATACCTACCGCAATTCCTTCTTAAACAAAAAATTCCGGATTTTAATCCTCGTGAATCTGCTCAAGGTCCAGACCGTTAGCGAGCGTGATATCACAAGCCAACTGGAATTGAGCCCTCAAATTTGCATCAATAACATTTGTTTCTTACCAGGCGCTGTATTCCTTCACAGCCACATCCCGTGGGCCATCAATTGTGAGAAGAATAAATCTATACTGTTTCTGATAGGAAGACATTTCGGATTGTGGGATACAATCAACTGCTGCTGGTTGTATAGAAGATTGTCCTCCCATAAAATTGATATTAATAGGTAGGTAGTTTCCGGGAGTGAGCGATTTGTTGTTCTTAGACTGTGAATACTCTATCTTCTGCTGTTCTTCCATATATAACTCTTCCCGAACAGCATCGGGAACATCATCTTAGCACTCTAAAACACCCCCAGCATCAATATACGCAATCAGGCGTTTCAAATGATACGTTCTCAATTGGTAGTGTTTCTTTCCATAAGGATCCTGCCAGCAATACGGCCCAAGATAGCAGGATAGTAAAGGACAACGCATTAAGCTATAGACAGCCCGCCAGATAGACTGCTCTCCAGATATATACTCTTCAGCATCAAGTTGTGCATCACGCTCGCTAAGCATTCTCTTCGTCACTGAAGACTTCCCTCGTTTTTCACCCCTACCTACTGCACCCCTAGAAAGATTATCGTCCTCTGTATAGTTGAAAGTAATAATTACCCTCAGTTCCTTACCTCGAGTGTAAAGTTTACCCCAAGTAATTAGTTACTCCTCCACTGCAGTCCAATCAATATCAAGGGATTGAAACCAGAATTTTTCGTTCTTATATTTGCGATCGTTGACCGACATAACTACAAGCGTACCATCCGATCTCACCCTTCGGCTACGTGGGATCCGCTCTTAAAGCACGTTCTCCAACTTAGGCCTCAGGACCGAAGGCCAATAGGCACTTAGTGTCAGGGTCACATTCTTTATCGTGTCCTCCCACCGGAACCGGTTGTTCACCTTCACTTTCCACTCGATTGTATACCGAATAAAGGTCGGTAGAAACTCGTTATCTGATCTACTTGCTTCCCACTCACCGACTTAAAGAAGTCTTGGTGTTTCTTACGGGGCGCAGATCGAGGCTACGGGACTGCCCTAGGGATAGCGATCCGGGGTAGGGCTGAACTCAAAATACGAGTGTAGTGTCTCGTTATAGTATCCTGGAGTGGGGGCGTATTGTGAATCCTAGTCCGAGAGATCGGGGGTATAGGGCTGAGCGCTATCACGGTCACAGAATAAGCCATTAATCATAGTGAACGGTTCCTGTTCAATTCAACGTTAGCACGGTTTGGCTTCCAGGTTCAACAGGCGGTGGGTTCGATGATTGAGGGCTGCAAGTTGATAGAGAGTCGATAATAAACGCATTGTAATAAAGACCCCACCAGTTCCTTTCTTTTTCAATCTGCGTATTTTCGTTCGCTATCCGCTTGGATCTACCGTGGGGGTTTAGATAAATATTGGAATGCAAGCTAGAGAGGTGGCCAGACAACCGACTGTATTGTTTGACTTGTTTGCAATCAGTTGGTTCTAGAAAACAAAATCGTCCGTACAGCACGTTACGGAATCTATTTTTATTCGTTTATTTACGCCTATATAAGAATACCGCCGCATAGTGGGTCAGGAGTAGTCTAGCCTAAACCGGTATAGTGCAATGCAAGATAAGGTTTCGAAAAGTTTTAAAGAGAGTAAACAAGTGAAGCTGATTTCGAGCGGCCCTGTACAGCTCCTACAAAACTAAGGGGTTGCTATGTTTCAGAATACTTTGGTTACGCGACACTGTTTCGGCTCGCAACAACTACCGACCCCGCGCAGGTCTAAGACTCCTTTTCAGCACCGGAACAAATTCCCAAAAAAAGTGTGTCGCAAAGAGCTGCAGGCTAATTGTAGCTATAGCATATAAAAACAACCCACCGTATACTTCGTATCTGCATATTATTCTCCAATCTCTAGCAAGATAAAACAAGAATGGCCTTCACTATATTCCTACTTTTTGCTGGTCTCTATATACGCGCCGCCTTAGGTGGCGGTCTCAAAGTTATCGATTACGATCGCCAATACGTGATATAGTCTGATAATAACCATAGATGTATAGGATACTCGGTGTCTTTTGGTCTCCTTAATAGGGATGACTGTTCAGGTAAGGGGTGTTTCTATAGATATTTTATCGGTATTAACGAAGAGCTAGATCTAAGCAATGTTATATATAGTGTTCGTAAGGAATACTCTAACCTAAAAGTGGATATATATAGCTCGGAAAACGGCCAGCCTGTTGTATAGATACAGGTAAACGATAATAGAGATATCAAATTCCTCAACCGAGGGGGAGATCAGGCAGGATGTACATTATACAATGGATTGAAGGTTAGCAGCTCGTGTATTGCTTCTAGTATACCTTTATCGTTACCCACTTCCTCAGCAGGAACATCCTCAGCGGGGATATCCTCAGCAGGAATATCCTCAGCAGGGACATCCTCGGTAGGAATATCCTCAGCAGCAACATCCTCAGCAGGAATATCCTCAGCGGGGATATCCTCAGTAGGAATATCCCCAGCAGGGATATCGACTTCCTCAGTATCGAATAGGTCGGTATCGACTTTATTAACTTTATCGGTGTCTTCTCCGTTGTCTACGATAGTACAATCAGGTCCGGTCTCTAGCTGCCCTAGGTATAAATAAGAGAAACAGTAAAATATTAGGGACGATATAAGGCAGTTGTGTCTTTCTTACTATAGCAGATAGGTTTCTTTGGGTGTGGTTTTTCCCTTGCGGGTTTTCTATATCACTAGCGTAAATACGAAAGAGACTCCGCTATTATTCACTATAAAAATCCTATTTATACAAAAGTAGCTAGACAAAAATAGCACTTTTCTCAAATAACATGTTTTAGAGATACACCGTAAAAATTCATCAATAAGGAGATATTAAACCGCTTCGGTCCGAGTGAATACGTAAAGTAGAAAATGGCTGCCGATAACAGGGCCTTCGGAGTAGGTATTTGACCTACGGCTGTTAAAGCGTACTAAAGCCCTAGGCACCGATCGATATAAGCTATATAAGTAGGCTGGTGAACTTCCAAGGGTATATTATATCCTTCGTTGCTTACGTTTATTCTCGGTTATTTAAGCACAACACTTGTCTTCTATTATCTATAGCTTATCAGGTAGGTCGATTCAGCCGTTTGAGGCTCCTTTAGGTCAAGTCTTTTCTTTAAGGTTTTCACTAGATTCGTGGGTAGGTAGGATAAAATGATTCTTCTAACAGACATTGGGGGTGCCTAGGTATTAGGAAATTCGCTTGGTTTAAAGTGGAGAGTGTTTCCTAGCCAATTATACTTAATAAACACTTTCTTTTACTGCGTTGATAAAAAAGATAAATAAATTAATCGGTTTATTTATTGTTTTCAACAATTTTATAGTTAGATTTCTAAGACAATCAATTGTTTCTTATCGGCTATAAATCTTCTCTTACCCATTGACCTTTATACTTTACTAGCATTGATTGGCCTTCTCACGCTCGTTGACAACTCTTAGAACGCTATTAATTATTCTATCCTTATTATTCTGTAACACTAGTATCGTCGTTAACAATATACGTTCGGTCGACTCCCAATAACCGTTTTATCGTATCGTTTATCAATATAATACCTCACTCTAAAAAATATTTACACTAGCTTTTTGCCCAGTCAATATATATCACCTCTTCTTTCTGTTACCTACACTTATATCTATATTTTAATTTGTGTTATTAAAACTGATTGACGAGGCTATCTCCTAGGACTAGTAGATCGGGTTTTAGTCTCTTAATCGCAGGGTATATATTTTATTGCCTCTCTCCAGTGTCTCGATACTATAATTCTGCCCAGCTATATAATTATATAAACTTTCCGCTGGGGGCGCAAAGAACGGCCGAAAAGAATAATAAACTGATTAATTCGTTTATATATAATTAATATAAACACAGTGAAAAAAGTTTAGTGTCCGTTAAATACTGTTAGCTATACTATACCCTCCGCCCCAAATAACGCGTATTTCCTAATATCTAGGCACCGCCCGGAACAGTCTTTTTTTTACGTTAACCGATAATAAATTTATTTACCCGGCTGCTTGAGATCAGGTATATACACTGATAAATATTTCGATCAATATAAAGGGTTGCTGGTGCTAAAGGTATACTATAGTAACGTTGCAGTCACGTAAAAGGTATAGCGGGTAACGTATCAATAACGTTGAAAGAACGGTTGTATTTACCTTACCGCACCTATTTAATAACCGCAAATAACACCGGTGAATACCCTTCTAGTCTTACGGGGGCCGCCTTGTAAGTTCAATATATAAAAGACTAATTTTCGTGGTCTTTTCGCGTTCTATGATTGATGACTCCCCTTCGTATAATAAAATTTGTATTTATTGAGCCCTTTCCTATTAGTAGACCTAAGTTTTATAAGAGTCCCCGCTATCTATATTTTCTATATAGGTTTCTCTTCTCCTAAATACCCCTATATATTAAGGTAATCCGCTCAATAGCCGCTATTAAGGCCACTAGGTCTAAGGAAGTCACTTCGAAAATAAAATTGATATAGCAAAAACAATACCGTCGCAAAATAAGTCTGATAAAAAAGGTATACGAATATAGTAGGATATACAGCGCAGATATATACGTAGGTATTCGTATACGGGAGACCGGTTAGGTGTATATCTTATCGGCGGATACTTCGGGCTTTTGGGCTTTTCTTACTTCGCAATTGGTATATAAACTATATAGTATTATCTACCAGGCGGAGCGCTAACTTACCAGAGCTCTTATTACCCGACTCCGACTGTGATAACAGATCGTGACTTAGAGAAAACCAGGGAGGAGACGGTTTTTAGGGAGCAACGATAGGCACTTTATAACGCAGCTGCTGTATACTAGAGTATACAAGTGTATTTCAATCCTTATTGCAGTATGTTTTCGCCTATAGATATTATTGTGAAAAATAGTTGTTACTTTTCCTTTCACCCTCTTACTTACTATATTAAGAAGTATATCAGAGGCTGTGCTAAGCCAAATACCACAGTTGTCCACAATATCATTTTGAGCTTTATAAATAAAGCAGGAAGAGGCTCGAAGCTTAACCGGGAAGAGCCGCCAGATTGGGGTAGGGAAAGGAAGATAAGCCGCCCTGCAATAGACTATATTATAAGAGATATACACCTTAGAGTAACAACGGTTCTAAGCAGCGATATAGGTGCCTAAGAAATAAACGTGGTAATACTGAACGAGTTGTTGCTTCCGGTATAAATATTAGTTATCCTACTGGTGAGGATTACTATCCTAGGAGTATAAAGCACCGTGGTTTCCTTACAATAGTTGAAAAATATATAATATCTAAGTCCTAACTAACAATAGAAATCACGATCTTTTACGCTATTGCAGTGGGGTGCTTACTGACAATACTCTTTCTTATTCGTATAGCCCCCTCCTTTCTGAATCTACTCAGAATTTTGTTGTTCCTTATTACGAAACACTTAATATATCTATACTTATAGGGTCGCTATAGGCTGATTGCTCCTTGCACTCGAGCAGATACCTTATTATATCTCGCGTACGCTGTAACAAATATTTTTCTTGTTACCTTCAAGACTCCGTCAACAACAATAGCAAGAGACCGCGCCGGAACCCTTTCAGTGATCAATATAAGTTTCTTGTTCTTGGCACACTATCTGGGATTCCTTACAAACGCTATAGGTGTTTCTTTGATAGTGTGCAAGCGTATCTATCGGGCTGTAGGTTAGATAACTGGTATTCTTCTTGGTTTATATATTATTATAGCAATGATAACTGATCGGAAGAGCTGGATACTTCGCGAGAAGCCTAACCTCTTCGTATTAATTGTTTGTCGTCGCTCTCGCTTAACCTACCCTATCAGATTAGTAGTGCTAATCCTTCTTAGGGCTCTGTGATTATAGCCGCGATTTTATTGTTATCTTTCCCTTTTATTCGCCGTTTCCTTTACGAGCCATTCCTTTAACTGCACTAAGCCCTAGCTACAGCTTATATATATTCTGTATAGCGGTATCTACTATCCGGTACTCTGCTGCCCCGGCTGTATATTTATATTCCGCTTGGCACAATACTACTTATATTGCTGGTCGAACTTTTCCTTTTTATCTTTAGGAACGGTGTCTTCCCCCTACGTCCCTATTCTCGTACCTCTATTAGATATAATCGGGTGCAATAAACACCGATACAGAGCAAAGAGGTAACACCGCTGAAAGTAAGGATTGCACTTATAAGGCCCCTATATATCGAGGTAGGCCAATATATAAGCCTCTGGATACCCGCGGTAAGCCTATTCTCCTAGGCCCAGACACACCCGTTTATAGTGATATCTTGGTCGCCAGAAAAGTAGGATATCCTAGAGCTTTTTGTTTAACCTCGAAGAGGGCTCACTGAGACTATTTACTATCGTATAGCCCTAGATAGCTATACTTCCTTAACAGTATTTGTTAACGGGCCGTATAGAGTCAGTAAATCTGTAGACTATTACGAATGCGTCTTAGTAATTACGACCGATTTCGGTATAGTAGGTATTATATCTTATCTTAAAAAGCTCCTATACGGGTACAACACTTGTACGTTATATATACGCCGGGTATATTTCGTGTAGGAGGTCCAAATATTAGGTAAGTTCGGCCTCCACGTTCAGAGAGCTAACCAGCGATACTGAATTTCTTAGATATTGCTGTTGCAGCCTAACCGCTACTGAACAGCTTGTTAAGCGATAATATCTTGGATAATAGCTATATAGGTTTACTGTTCTTGTTTGACTATACTCGCACTGATAATGTGATATAGATACTCGAAATATCCTTTTTTGTGGTATCAAACCAGATAATAGAATATAGTAAGCTGTTTGGCTAGTATCGCCGCGCGACAGTTTTTAATAGAAAGCCTCGATATAATAAAATTATATCAGAAGAGGCTTCCGGGCGAAATATAAAACGGCTGCCAAACACTTATAAAGACCGCGGTGAGGTTCTGGTTATAGGTAAGTCTATCACCTTAAATAACAAACCAGACGCTAACTTCCTAGTATCCGTATCGTATAAAGTACGAGACCGTTTGAGAGAATTAGTTCGTAAACACCTCGAACAGAGAGTAAGGTTGTATAAGACGGAGTTTCAACCTTTATAACGAGAAGGGATCAATCTATTAAGTAGGGCGGGTAGGGTCAGCGAAATAACTAATTGGCTACAGATTAAATAGAATTCACCGCCCTCCAGAAACAAGTTTAACTATTGCACCCGATCTGTTCTTCACCGTCACCGTAAACCGATTCAGTGTATTCCCCGGCCCGAGGAACAGCGTATACTCTATACTTCTGTGATCTGTTCTTGTTTATTCCAGTCACGGTACAATTCAGGATTTGTAAATAGGGTGTACTCTATTTCCTAATCGGCTTCTATTCTAATTCTCACGGTTTCTCAGAAAGCGATTCCGTTCTGACTATAACCTTGCTATTGCGTTGACGAGTATTTTTATTAGGGTATAGCGACCGGCAAAATCTACTTCAACGATCCCCCTTTTTTTTGTCGGGTTGGGAAAACTGTGGCTATAAGACAAAAATCGTGGTTAAATAATTTAATTAATTGCCGTTTAGGTTACGACACCTTTTTAGGGTCGTAACCAAAACGGCTCCCAGTTATTACCTTTTAAGATACGCCTTTTGGGGGCGCTAGAAACCCCTGTGTGCTATTGTTTAATTTATTTTCTGGCTATTCGCTTTCTTCCTTTATTTATCCAGCTATCCCGAATTCAGTGTCTGTTCCTCTTTACACTTTACTTAACAGACCACGAGGTAATTCTTCTACTATCTAGACGTTCCCCCTTTAAGCCCACTGTTGCGAGAAGTTAACTATTAATTTCTTAGTGTCGCCGACTAGTACACGAATAATAGTATTATTTGACCCAGACACTTTAGTCTCTTATAGTGCCCCTGGACCCGATATTTCTGATAATAACCTTATTGATTGGGATACCTGGCTTACACCAGAGGCACTCTACGATAAAAAATATCTGGCTACTTCACAATACAGCTTTATCAATATAGGAGACTGTACTGAGCGTCAGTATTTACTAAAATATACCCCTCAGCTTTATTCAAACGGGCCAGAAGTCCCTCTGCTATCAGATAGGAGCTTACAGTTAACGCAGTCCACAGACAGTAACAAAGAGACAATAACAATAGGTCTCCAAACTTTAAGTCCAGGTGTATATACCTTTACGAAACGTAGAAACACAGAAATCCAACCTATCGTGATCAACGAAAAAGAATAACTCGAGTATTTAAAGCCCAGTGAAGACAATTTCAGTGCTTTCAGCCTTGAAAATCACCACTAGAGAAGAGCCCTCACTTCACCAGATCTCAAGCTTCTGAAATTATAAGAGATCGAAAGGGAAACCTTTTATAAATATAAGCCAGTCGATAACCGGACCTAGGCAGCTGAGTACGTTGACTGTATTCAAACAATATATCAGATTGCAACTAGCGAGACTATAAGCGCAAAATAAGCTCGAGACATCGAAGACTGCGGTGATAGCTTGATCACAATTATACGATCCGACGGCCCGATTGCCTCGTTTAAGTCTCTTTTACTTAACTGTCACTTATATACCTTACCTTGTGTTGACTTAACTTCGTCCCTAACGGTATACGTGTTATATCTGAGGTACCTGAACTCGCTTATTTGTTCAGTTTTGAAGTTAGACGATATAAATCGCCGTCTTACCCAGATTTAGATCTATATTTATTTCGAAAATTATATCAATAATTTGAAGGAAAGTGAGAATAACGGTATTCCGCTTAACCGACAACAGAGGGTAATCCCTACGATCGCTAGAGATTCTATCTTACAGGCTGTTTATAGGAACCAATTCGTGCCCCAAAAAACAGATCGCGACTATTTAAGTGATCAATACCGCTGGGGCGAGCGTTAGTGGAAAGCTGCTACTTATATAGGACTTAGTGTGATTTTACTAGCCAGTGAAGACTTGGTAAATCAAATATACGCTTATTTATACCCTATAGAATAGTTGTATTGCTGACTTTGAAATAGAGGTAGAAGAACAGCTTTTTAGAACAAAATAGTAGATACGTTGGCTATTTATATTCTCAATCGCTACCTAGCTCTAACCAGTCTTTATCGATCGTTTGAGTCTATAGTAGTAGACCTTATACTTAGAGGTGATAGCGGCTTTTCCTAGGACTAGCTAAATATTATCTAAGAGGCGCCTGTGGAGAATAAAGCAACTTTATATAAGCTAGAAAGATAGGTAGTTCCTAACCTCAAGTCTCTGTCTAGAATTGCTTCTTCCTACCTGATCTTTCTCCAAAGATTCTAAGGCTATAATTATATCTAGTAGGTGTTGAGTCAAATATATTATTTCACAATACTATCGTCTCTCTCTTACTCTTAGGCCGCAGGGAACCGTGCTCTAGAGGGAGGGGCCTTTTCTAAGTCGCAATTACTGACTCAGATTTATCTCTAAATAACCCCCTAAGCTAACGTTATTAGATTATACTCTACAACCAATCCTTATTTTCTCGATGCGCGCGCTGGCTGGTGGTTGCGGATAGCACCACCTTCTCGGTCCCTGTCCTTTAAGTTCTTCAATAAATTCGTGATAAAGATCGTAGTCTATTGGAGGATTTCGGTCGGCTGTAGCCTCCCGACGGGCCGGTTATAAGTCAATCACGTAGCCACTATAAGTCAATCACGCAGTATATATAAAGTCCCTTATATAGTAGCCACGTCTTATTTTAGGAATAGCGCCTTATACCTATCTCAATTTTTAGACGATATTCTGAGCCTACAATCTCCACTTATAACTGGTAATTATTGGTTTTGTACCGTGATATTCTGAAGAGTTAGGACCTAGCCGCCGTTTAAGGATTTATTGGGGAAAATATAGCACTTCTAGGTTCTTAGTTTCTTCTGTACTTAAGATTAGAGCTTTACCGACAGCTCTTTGCTGAAGCACACGAGCTGATATATTGTATTGTCTGGATACAAGCTTGATATATTTACTGAGAGCCTTTCCGATATAATTGAAAGTTACCGGTATATAATAGAACCTTTGAAAACTATAAGTAAGCCAATACTCACAATTCCTTGAAAGATATCGTTTCCTACTATCTCTCGTAGGAATAGAATATCCTTATAGAGACTAAAACAGACCGAGTAAGAAGTATTAACTCTCCTACCAATCGACTTTCTTTGCGGATAAGCGGTTGCTGATAAATGTTAGTTTTATATTCGTCTACTCGTAATATATTGGCTTAGGTATATCTTTCAAAGATTCAATAGACTTTGCTGTCGAGAGGGCGGAAAGGAACCTAAAGGTATCCGAGTCGATAGGCCAACGATCCACGTTATCTACTCCCACTATTCTATTATCTTTTATATACTTCTGTATGATTTCTATAGTAATAGAAGCGAGAGTTTTGATATATATATTCTGTGCTTGACCCGGTGGACGTTCCATATATATCTCTAAGCTGGCTATAGGGGGTTAGAATAATCATTACGAAGGAGGCAATTACCACTTACCGATCTTGATAACGCTATCTAGGCCGAGAAGAATATTCCGGTATATCAGAGACTGGTGTTCTAATCCAGTTTCATTGAGGTAATATAAACCATCCAAAATCTGCACTGTCGTAAGCTTAAAATACTTGAAGTGTTAAGAGCTATATACCTACCAAGTTATACAAGCTAATTCCGCCTCCGTAGGATAGAGAGACCGATACCCTATAAGCTGCTCCAAAGTAAGCTGGAGGTCGTTGACGAGAGTGTATATATATCCTTTATTTACGAAGTACTCTCGGGCCGTCAATATATTATTGTAGTCAAGGATATTATATAGCCGTCGTATTTTAGCTACGTCCCCTTTGGTGTACTCCCGAATAGCTACTACCTGGGACGGACGGGAACAGCGAGCTGCAATAAACACCTCACCTACTAGATTATACCTAAGTGTCCGACGATAAGTGTCCTAGGGTGATTCCTCCCTCACGATCAACCCGCGAGATATACCTTCCTCGCACACCTGAGGTAAGCTAAAGAGTTTAGGGCCTCCACTTATAACCTTTCGTGTATATTCGCTCCGGGGAGACGTTTTTATCTTTTTTAAGTTAGAATTACTGTCCAATTGGGTGGGTGTATCAAACTGGTGTGGCTGTTTACTTAAGGGTGTCTCTCGTGATAGGTTATTCGTAAGCCGTTCTTAGTAGCTCTTGAAGTTAATCGCCGTGCAGTGCTTATCTTATTTCGATATATTTGGGCTAGATCAAGATATACGGAAAGGAAATAAGGTAGAAACGTATAGCACTTGAAGGCGAAGAGGCCTATTTATAATACAATTGTATCAATGGAAGTAAATTTGTTTTAAGGGCCACCCCCAGCTTTTGCAGTTATATTGGTCACTAGGACGCTGAATTAGCTAGGTAGACCCTTTCTTCTGTAAGGCTAAGACCAGTTAAATATAAATAACCGATACTCTACTGCTACGTATATTCTGCCTCACCAGCACTATAGACGAGTCTATATATATAGATCCTGAGCTGTAGATTGTAACAGAAAGGTGTCGGACTTACTAAGGAACAGCTAAGGTTAATATTAGCCAGATTACCCCCCACCTATCTATTTCGCAATATATAAACACAAAAAATATAGAAAGACTCTGTGAGGTATTTAACAAAGAAGGTTGTCGAAGACTCGATATATATAACCACGTAAGCGCTGTTATATTAAGAGAGTATCTCTATAAGGCTCTTTAAGTAGGGCGAGTAAACGCCGCTGATATAATAACTGATCAACCGAGCCGCTACCTACACCTCTATTTCTCCACTGGTTCTATACAGTGCCTTTATAGTCAACATCGATTAAAGGCCGGAGAACACTATTTACCGTCGATCGACTAATAGTGGACTGTTAACTTATATTTGGATAGTAAGCCAGAAATCCACTATATACTTTCCTGCAGTTTTGATAACCCCAAGATATTAGTCCCGATCTTTAAACAAGCCTTATCGATAAATATTCTAACGAGAGAGTTCTAAGCGATAGTGAGATTTACCTAAAAGTTCGGCAATATCGATATAAAGCAAATTCACACTTCGAAAATCGATGGTTAGCGCGGCTGTCAGATAACAAAGCTAGACGGCTTCGCGGACTTAAGTCTTATCCGAGCGTCCGAGCTGCTTTTGACTCGTTACTCGGCTTACCCTCCTTGATGATATATAGAATATAAATCGGATCTCTTCCGCAGGCTCTAGCTATTTACTGCGATAAGGTAAGGTCGTCTGACTCTTAAAAAAATATAGATACTGATTACGTTCGCAGGAGATAGTTTACGCGCTGACTAGGCTATAGGAATACTAGTCTTCACTCGTAGGACACGATCGTGCTAAGATACTCAAAGTTAACCCTTATACGGTGGAAATATTGTAACTCCTAGCACCTAGAGTCTCCTCGAAGGATAGAACCACCGTGAAAGGTCTTATACACAGTGGCGAAGTCTTTTTAAACTTCACAGTATCCGAGCGGACCTCAATTTGGAAGCGATTAAAGAGGACAGAGGGTATAATTCTATCCCTATATACGTTTTTTAAAGATCTCTGGTACCTAGAATTATACGCGAACTGTATTAAACGGCTTATTATACCTTCTAGGTTATTCCCTACGATTAGAGGCGCTACGCGTACAGCCTTCTTGTCTTTTGATTCCACCTATACGCAGTTCTTAATACAAATATCCGAAACTAGGTTTCGATCTTACTCGCACTCCTAGGGGGACCCAGCGGAACTTAGATATCGATAACTATAGCTCTATACTATACGTCACTACCCGAAGTTATCCAAAAAGCCTTAGAAGAAAAGTCCTACGGCGAAGCCTAATTGTAAGGTGGTGGAGCCTATAATACTGTATAAGATAGCTATACTCGTAAAGAGACTTAGGTTTCAGTCGCTATAAATTGAGCAGCTTATTCAGCAGTCGCTAGATCGGTAAATTGCGAAAGATACTCTTTTAAGAGCCCGTCGACTAGATCGTTATCGGTACAATAGGGAAGAAATTGAATCTCTGATTAATAAAGTCACCGAGTGCTTCTTAAGGGCCGTCCTTCTTGACTATAAGCTTCCAGTACAATTTATTAGTGGGAGGGAATTCAAGAAGGAATCTCGATATAGATATCCGCAAACCGAAGCCTAACTGTAAGATTGTCAATTCCTTTTTATCGACTAACTCTATGGTGATTCCCTCCAAAGGGAACGAAAAGCTACTTCTACTTTAGTAAGGAGGAGTTTCTACTTTACCTTCTTCAGTAAGCTGTCAATACCCCGTAAAAACAACGACACAGCGGGTAGATCTCTAACTCCAGACTTACCAATATCCCCGCTTTTTATTCCGAGCAATAGTTCGCCGTAAGATATAGGAGAACGGGTTGGGTCTACGGGTACAGGAGCCGGGCAGGATAGCAACTTAGAGCGGTAACGTTTGAAAGATACACGCCGAGGGAGACGTCAGCAGAAGTAAGCGAAAAAGCTATAGAGGTAACAGCAACGACAGCAGCGAAGACACCGATTATCATATACCGACCGTTATTATAGCAAGGAAACCGCGCGTATTGATTCGGAAGGTAGCCGGATAGGAGAGGTAGTGGAACCAGTATCCAAGATAGAATTTAGGTTCGTTGGAAGTAGGGGTATAATAAGTCAAAATAAGCAGGGTCGTCTTTATATAGAACCAGCCGAAGCCGATAAACTGGAGTACAGCGAGATTATTAAGGGGGGTTATAGTTTCGGCGACGGTAAAGAATCAGAAGATAGTTACGCTGGATTTAGGTTTGTTCCCTCGAGACCTCCCTCGCCTTCTGTTGGGTCAAGGTATACCTCCACGGAACTACAAGTATCAACGGTCTCGCACGACCAACTGTCCTTAATATAACCCCTACAGTCACCAGGAGAGTTTCGTTTGATATCTATAGCCTCTCTACCACTACACCCAGATATAAATTCGTATAAGAGGCAACAACACCCCCTCGCCGCTAGATTTGAAGATCACGACTCTATAGCACCAATAGGCAAGGAAAACAAAATCCTCTGTCTTACTGATACCGAGGATAAGCAGCCGCGGGGAGGGGGCGAGGAAAATATAGCTAGGGGAGAATCTTCGATAGATATCAATATAGAAGAGCACGCAGGCGAATAAGAGAATAAAGCGGCAGAAACAGCAGCGCAGCTTTCTTTATCGGAAGAAGTTGAAAAAGCACTGGCAATTTTAGAAGGACGTAGGGCATCGGAGATAATATCGGGCCCCTCTAGGATTGTGGGCACTAAAAGTGCGGCGCTGCGAGAGATCGCTAAATTCAAACTATATAACCGCACGCAACGGCGCCAACAAACCCGTAAGTTATCTATTCCGCCACAGGGAACTCTGGAGTAGGATATAAACGCACTGTTACGAACGGCTGATCAGGAACAGACAGCAAGACCTAGTACTCAAATTGATTTCCTCGAAGCACAGTATTATCCTTTGTTAGAGATAAATAAAGAGCAGAGTTTATAGCCCGTAGCTAGTTAAGTTGACCTAACTCAGGACCAGCAATAGGCACCGGAAGAAAGATCAGGCTCAGTCGATCAAAACTCAGAACACTATAGAATAAGGAATATCCGATCGGAACAGGAAGAACGGTCGTCTAAGTCTGTACCACTAGACGCTTCGCCGGAGGTCTATATTATAGCCGATACTACGCAGAAGGACACTCTAGTAGAGCGCCCCTCTTCGTCACTACAACGAGAGTCTCCTGCGCAGACTGATACGCGCACACCAATAGAAATAGCTAGGTCAGATAAGTTACCCGAGGAATAAGACGAGTCTCGTGAGCGAGGAGAAGGAGCCAGCGATACAGCCAAGTATTCTGCAGTGACAATTAAGTTCCGTGTATATAATAAACACGGCGACTGGAATCGCTTAGTCCACCAAATAGTGGTCGATCTATCTGACCCCTCTCCTGTTAGGCGAATAGCGTCCAAAAACGCGCGAGAACGTTAGGCAACGTTTTATAACCAGAATCTACGGTAGGTCCCACCGGGGTAGTGCTTTGATACAGCGATTGAGGATAGCACGAACACGATATTTATAACATTCGGCGACGATCTGGTTGTGAGTGAAGAGGCGGTGAATTCGATCGCACGAGTAATTGAACCCGGTAGTGATAATAATCGGCCGATAAAACGCCGGTATTAGGCGATAATAATACACTTAAGATCTAGATCAAAATACTTGTGTCCTATATAGACCGTAGTCAGAAGACCGAGGACCCTTATAGTCACTGAGCCAGGGTGGCCGCCAGTTAATAGCTATAAAGCCTACCTAGACTAGGAGCCGTGGACGTACGTCCAAAGTGGGTCTACGTCCACTTAGTGCCTAAAACCAAAGCCTTCCCACCACAGCTTCCTAACCACGGACCTATATCTCCAGACTCAAAGCCCGCCTGGACGCAGATCTACAGATCTATTATATAACTAGCCTTAAGGCAGTAGATTTGTGTCTTTGTCGGCCTAGGGACAATATAGGCCAGAAAACACTCTTCCTCTATCTATAGAAGCCCCCCCAAATGCAGAATACTACACAAGAAGCGCTATATCCAGCTTTTTAGTTAAATCTATCGTAAAGCTTATCTAGCCTCAATTTCTTGGTAAACGTCCCTAAGGGGGGCTCTTAAACCCTCCAGTTTGATACTAAAGGTAAGACTGTAATAGGCGAGCCTCTTACACCAAGATAAATCTTAACCTCTACCCTAGATACCCCTTTTCTAGCTAGTAAATAACGTAGGTAGCGGGGCTGGGCGTTCCAGTGGGGTGAAGGAGACCACAAAAGAAAGATTCGTAGGCCTTGCTCTAGTACGCTGAGTCAGTGTTCTGGATCAATTATATTGAGGTAGTATATAGATGATATATTTCTTATTAGCCACTGATCAATTATTTAAACTTATACTGCTTACTTCTTCCGATACTCCTATATATAGTGCTGCCTCGAGTTTAATTGATAACACCGACGAAATATCTCGTTATAATTCAACTACGGCCAGAGTAAGTACGCTTTCCTTTCCTCTAGAGGCGTTATCTAAAAACACCCAGTGACTTTATCTCCCCCCTTGTATACCTAGAGGTTAGCCCTAACGGGAAGAAATTCGCTGCGCCCAGCGGGATAATCTAAAGCCTCCGGGGTCGTTACAAAAGGTCGCCCGAAATAATTTATATAGTTAACGACGATATTAAGGATATCTTTGGCTATATCCTTCAGTACCTTTACAGTAGGGATTACTCTGTCCTTATTCCAGCAGCCGATAAATCGAGTTATACTTTATACGAAGATAAAATCGATATTGTAACGCAGGATCTACTTCCCTTAAAAGAAAATTATTTTGCGAGTTATAAAGATATCTAGGTAAAGACCGACAATTCGATATCTTTGCTATATTGTGGAGATAGAAACCACCTGTGCAAATATCCTAAGACACTGCTGGTGTATACTCGTTTGTATGACTTCGCTACTAGATATAGATTGGACCAACTTCGAAATATAAGTTTGAATAAGCTTTACTGGACTCTCTCGGAATATCCGTTAGATTCAGAACAAGCGGACACAATCGTCGAGCTTTTACGGGTTACCAATAGAATAGGCACTATCTATACGCTAATAATTCACTATATATCATTGCACCTAAAGACTTTTATACGTTGTTCCAGTTTTCTCTCGTTCTTAGAAGAAAACTATTATATCAGCTTCCACTTGTTCAATCTCTTATATGATTCCCTGTGAGCCTTTATTCTCCTTTAGTCCTGTTCTTCAATTTCTCCTGCAGGCCTATTTATTACTTCGTATTTCAAGACAATATAAATCAGCCCCCTGGAAGCTGATTATTAGCTAGATAGAGGATCTGGACTCTTTTAAGGAAGATCTGTACTTGATCTCAGTTTATAAAGCCCTGTATCAATTCAAATTTTTTGAAGAGATATTAAGTTACAAAGTCTTTCGCGCCTTCTAGAGGTTCCTTTTAGTTCTGAACTGGCGTTAGAAGGTAGAGACCCTATTCAAAATCTAGAACCAGCACGCTTTCGGGGTATATAGTAGGGAAGACCACGGTTTCAGCGCTATATACTGTTGGTTACCTTTCAAAGTAGAAAACAATATTATTGCTTAGCCAGAAGACTTCTGAGATAGGATCTACGATCAATCTATTTATATCTGAATTACACCCGAATATACAAGCAAAAATAATTATCTACGCTCTTAATAGTAAGATAACGTAACTTACCAGTTATTCGCCATATATATCTAGTGACTCACCAGTATATCCTCGAAATATATCTAGACTTAAGCACCGGGACAATAGGAATATTATATCACCAGTAACTTCTGTCCCGACTAACTATATTATTAAATAACCTTAAATCTCGATTATACCCCGAAGCTTATATAAAAGTTCACGGGTAGGCCTTAAGAGAAACTCTTAGTGGTCAACTGTACGATACAATTCAATGATAGCACCTAAGGCGGAAATAGACAAAGTTAAGGGCCTACAGTCGATATTTAAGATCTCTTCTATAATAGTGATTTATCCGTGTGATAAGATACACGAAAAGTTAATAGGTATACAGAGATAAGTAAAAGAGGAAGGCAGTCGAATTCATTATAACCTATTAATCAAAAGGTTAAAACAACTACAATAGGATTTTATTCCGGTGACTCTAAATAATCGGGACAAATAAGGTACGCTTTAGTGAAATAGTCACTAGGTATAGCTCCGCCAAGTGTGTCCAAGTAGAGAAATAAAGAAATAGCGCAAGGCCCTTAAAGATCGGAAGAGTAGAATCTGACGCTTATATTCGAAGGCTATAGATATCCTCGGTATACCTCCGTAAGTGCATCTCGTGTAGGACGGACAAATCGCAGAAATTATATATCCGGTCCGTTAGATATAATGTCCTGAAATACCTTTTCACTCCATTATAGTCGGAGTACATCTTAGGGTATTGGAAGTATACAAATGTTTGCTCTGTATTCGGGATATATTTCCCGCCAGAGGTATATCCCTTCTCCCACGACGTATTCAGCTGCGTATCAGCTTTTACCTTTCGAGCTGGCGGAGAGGGAACGATATCCTTATTGTCGGACGGGGCAGAGCGCTTCCGTCGTCCCTTAAGGGGCCCACCTTCCTAAAAGCTGCAATATTGTATTCTAGCCGCAACAGCTTTATTGCGCCGCGTCCACTCGTCTTCTAATAAATCGGTGGTAGGCTAAGTAAAGAATATCTCCACGAGAAGAATCTGCTCCGATAGCATTTCAAACTCCTTCCGTAATACCTCGCGCGCAGGCTTATCACTGACAGCCCCACTAGTCAGCTGTCTTTCAATATCAATTACCGCCTGTTTCCGACTGAAATCGCGGCGTGTTTCTTTCCGCTGTTTGTCTTACAGATACCGGCGTAGATTGTGGACTTAACGCTTCTGGTCCTCTAGTATCGCCCGAAATACTGGGTTATAAGAGCGATCAGCGCACTGGGTCTCTAAATCAACTTACCAGCGTATAGCTGATTGTAGTTCTAGGTCTTTCTCCACTGATTCCCGATCAGTGTCGCTTAGGTATCGTGGTCGTCGCCGATCAATCCAACAACTTATCCGGGTCACAGCCTTTGAGAACTCTTCGTCTGGATTAAGGCCGTATATAATCTCTTATAAGCCAGTATACCGACGGGGACGATAATATTTAATAAACGTTCTACTAGTGGCGTAGGCTATAATTATATTACGCTGTGCTTCACTAACAAAACCTAGATAAAAGACTTAGTCTGCCTATCTACAGAAAACTTAGGGATATATAGGCCACTCACTACTCTTATCGAGTAAATTACCTCCTCCGTATCGGAATTGGTAAGAGAAAAAATGATTAAGGAAGCCGTGTATCTCACTAGATATCCTAAGCTATATGTCGAGTGTGCTTCTATTCATTGGTGTCTCCTATAAAATACGGGGCTGGCCACAGATCACCTTAACCTTTAGGAAGATATAGTAATTATCTATCTCTTTCTTTAAGGGAAGTAGTATTTCCTGTCGACCACCCTCGATAAGCAGTCTCCGAAGGTCTTCTATCGATATTAAGTGAGGCGCTTCAAAGGCGTAGATATAAAATAATATAATAAAGAGTAGGATATACGGGCTGAAGACAAGTGATACGCCGTAGATAATTTTAGGTAGCGCAAACGTGTTGCTAAGTAATATCGATCAGTCAGTCTGATTGTAGCAAATAAGTGTGACTCGGGTGCTACCTACAGCTTCGATATACCCAGGACGCTTTTCACAAACTGGGGCTCGAGTTCGATTATCGGCTTAGGAGGTCCTCCGTGCGGATCCTACTGGAGCGATATTTATAAATACTTGAACTGAAGGTTAAGTATTGCCTATTTTCGGTTGATAGTAAATAACCCAACAGTGTTATATAAATATAGGATAATACGCTGAAACCCTAAGTGGAATCGCTTCTCCCGTGTTTAAAGGATTGTCTTATTGAATAGAATTATATCTTCGATATATACTGGGATATTTACGCGCGGTTGTGTGTCTAGACCGCGCTTATCCACTAAGTATCTTATACCCTGTCAATCTTTGTTAGCGTAAGCCTCCTACAGACGATTAGGAGGGAGGTCGAAAACAAACCGTGCGAACGGCCTCGCCTATCTCTTTACTTATCTCGGTTTTGGTAACTCGCTGGTAGTAAATTCGGAAGTACTTCCAATCCGCTTCAAGGGCGCTAGCCTTTGTATAGCCTTTCTAGCGGCGACTATTAGGACTGTACTCTAGCTTTAGACACCAATTGAGAAATCGATATATATTATTCGGTAACGCCTCACGCAGTGTATCCTCCGCAACCCCCTACTTATAATTAGTGGATAGTTCTATTGCTTTTATTTAGCAGTACCTGAAATAAGCTAAGTCGATCAGTTAATATTAACACAGTATAAGCTTTCAACGATATCCTAATCACTTACCAAGCCTAACGCTCTTTTAGTCGAAGTTTTAACTTCTTTGTTTTGTTAGATCGGCCGTAATCCTCCGGTACTTAGGCTAGGTCCTTATCCGTGTTATTATCGGGTACTTAGTATCGGGCCTAGTGGACACGTTCTATATTCGACAGGACTGTTGGTAACGATTTTGTTCCAGTCTTTGGGCTTAGCTTCTTCCGAGCAATCGTTCGACCCGCTAGAGGGGAGCGCTCTAGCTCGGTAAGATCAGTCTTAGAGGAATCGGGCTTAAACGGTCTATTATTGTCGGTATCGATAGGAGAAGTATAAGAGGATTCGCTCGTGATTTCGTGGTTACCGGTATTAGGCGTCCGACGATATATAGCTAATAAAATTCGCCGAGCGTACGAAGGAACTACCTCGGAGCTCAAGATATATCAACGCACGACACTACTAAATAGAAGAAAGCACAACGGAAGATCAGAGGGAGATTTTTGGAGTGGTATTTGAGTCGAAATAAGGACAGTGTTAGACGGAGAATAGGTGGGAAAGGGGTATTTATAGCCATAGCGGCTGGGAGCTGGCCAGAGTGCAGCTGGTATAGTGGTGAAGGAGGCTATTTTCGGCGCCCCCCCTCCCCAGTAGGCGTGGTAGAGCTACGAATGAGCCCTCCTAGGAACCCAGGATATAAGCGCACACGAAATGGCTGTCTGAGGCAGAAAGCGGTGGGCGGTGGGTGCGTGGTCGAAGGAGGCGGGAGCGTGGCGGAGGGAGGTTGCTGAAAGACGGCCATTTTCGGCCTCACCTGCGGCCGAAAAAGGCAGCCAAATAGCAAAACGCAATTCTTTATAGGAATATATCGCATTTATTATATGTTTTGAACTACACCGCTCGCTTGTGTGCGCCACTCGTATATAAAATACGTTACCGAGTGGGCCACCCTAGACTTCGGCAGAACCCATTTTGGGTCGGAACCTCTGACCCAAAACCCAACCTATTGGGTTAAACCCAACAACCCAATAATAACCTATTTGAACCTATTTTTGTATAAAATATAGGTCTTAGCGTTTATAACAATGCTAAGTTATTCAAATAAATTACTGTTTTTTACAGCTGTTCTGGTTTGTTTATCGAATATTGCTATATTATCACAATATTGAGTTAGAAAATTTATATAATTACCCTGAATTTAAAGCTAATAGGCTTTATATTATATTGATTACCGATAAAAATTTATATTAATTATAGTATAGTGGTGTTCTATTAATTTAAGTATTTGTTAACTGTAGACTATTGAAAATATATATTTGTGGTAGAGGGGAGTATATATATATTACAGGATAACTATAAATATAAATAGAAATATCTTATTCTTATTTGATTTTATATACAATTAATATTATATTAAAGCTATATTTCTCTTCTCTTATATTTAACTTATTATATATACTCCGAATTGTATTTTCTGACCGCGGTCGGAAAATCACTTCTAGGAGGTAGGTATATATATTATTATTTCTGACCGCGGTCAGAAAAGCCCTTCTGGGAGGTAGGTAGGTATATATATTATTATCTCTGACCGCGGTTAGAAAAGCTCTTCTAGGAGGGTAAATAAAATATTTTTAAGGGATCTTCTAGGGGAGTGGGTTATAAATAGGTTCTCCTAGGTTTCGATAGGTTATAAATAGGTCCTATTAGGTCCTATTGGGTTAGACCTATTTAAATAGAGCTTATATAGCCAATCAAACAATATTATAGCTTATACCTTTTGATCTATCTACTTTACTATAGGACTAAGGTATTTACTATTTATATACCCTTCTCTTATAAATATATACTCTCTCTCTGCCTTTCCCCCTTACCTCTATAGTATTCCCCTTTTCGGTCGTAATATCCTAAAGCTAGTATTCTAACTTTTTACCTACTCTTTACGATACAGATATAGATAACCTTAGCTATCTTATACCCTCTTCTCGAGTTCTAACCCTATCCAGTAGCTAGCTTATAATTAAGCCTTTTAATACTATTAATACTGACTTCCTTCGGCCCTCTAACCTTCTACTAATTCTATACTCTCTTACTCGCGTTAGCCCTAATCGGAGAAAGGTATATATACTTTATAACAATATAGTATATAAAGAATAGGTTAAGTAGTAGCTATAAACCGACTATAGGTAGAAAAGTAAGATTTCCTAGGATTTAAATCGTAATTTAAATATATAGAGCAACTTCGACTAAGTTACCTATACTAAAGATAGTGCGCTAAAGGTGATATATAAGCGCTGCTTAAAGATCCTAGAGTATCCTTATTCTCTATTACCTAGCGGAAAGGGCTATTATAGTATATTAACAATATTGAAGTATTTAAAGACAGTAGGCTATCGTAAAGCTTAATAGGGAGGGAAAGGAGAAATTACCTAGTTCCTTTAAAAAGTAGTATCTCTTTACCTCTTTATTTAGCTATCTGATTTCCCTAATACCCCTGGATATATAGGATTACGGTTTACCAGAGGCTCCTTTTTTACAATCGGTATAGGAAGAGTATCTTCTCTAATTTCTCACCCTCAATCGACTTCTATTCTACCTTATCGAATATCCAATATTTTATAAGCTATTCCGATTAGCCCGCTCTACACTATCTCTCCCTCCGATACCCTCTGCTACCACAATACGTCGTCGTTTATATAATATAATTATAGAACGATAGAAATCTATCCTCTAAACACTACCTAACGACGTAAAAATCTCGATTGTATTAGATTGCTAGACTTCTCTATATAACTAGGCGTTTATAGCTATCACTAGCTATTTTATTAATAGTAACTAGGTATACTAAGAAGTTCTACTTAGATTTAAACCACTTTATAGCTCCTATACCGGTTTAAATCTAAGTGGTGTACTCCTTAAAACTCTAGTTAAGTATAAGATCTAGGATCGGGTATCTAGAGTTATAACTAATAATATAACTAATAATAAGATAATAGTTAAGGCTATTCAGTAGGCGCTCTCTAGCGATATAATAGTAATCCGAATACCCTGTCTTACCTATATTATCTAGCTTTGTTTAAACCAGCTCCTTGATCGTTTAAAGGCTATCCCTCTAAATAAGAATACAGAAACAAAGTGGACTGACTAGAAATTATCTGCAGTAAAAGTAAATACTTAGCACTAGACACAGAGGATCTTATACACCTTAAATAAGGTCCGTTATCTTACTGTATATATCTATATAAGTCCGCAACGCTAGGCGGCCTTTCTCCGACTTTAAGAAAAGGGATCCTAGCTTATTCTAATCTAGGACGTAAGGACTCGGTGGAATTCTACCTTCTTAATACTTCGTTATACAAAGAGACTATATAGTTTCTTCTAGCCCTTCTGTAAGGAGTATAACTGTAAGGAGATATTGCTTAATACTTAAGAATAGCGTTAAATTAACTATCTTCTATAAATCACTCGGCTATTCTTTAACTATATAACAGAGCTCTCGAAGATAAAGGAGGTCACTATATATCTTGTCTTTAAGATTTATAATACCCTCTTTGATCACTTTTTTGAAGCAGAGGCGCTGCTTAAACGTAAGCGTATTCTATAGAAATTAGATATACTCAAAGCACTTATAGCTAGTCGCTTAAAACTTAATAAGTACTACTCTTAAACCGACAATCTTAAAGGATATATCTATACAGTTAGGACAATACTAGCACCTAACAGTAGATTTGAGTTCTTTCTATCTGATAATTAGGAGCCTTACTAGTGTAATACCTACCGGAAATTATTCTAGGAATTATTGATTCTATATTAAGAGCGCCTTATAATAAATTAAGGATCGACTAATACTCTAACAATAGTATTATCTAGTTCTAGGCTGAATATAATACTAAAGAGTAATAAGATATCCGCAAAACCAGCTAGTAATAAGATAACTCAATATCTCGATAGTGGTATATTTATAATCTATTTCTTCCCTATACAGGATAATACTAATATATTTATACTACTAGATCTAATTAATATTAAACCTCTTTAATTCTAGTAGGAGAACTAATCTCGTTTCCCTACGATTACGTTACTTACTCGCGATATTCTCTCTATCCTAGTAACTAGTACTAGTGTCGAACGGCTCTTCAATACTACTCGGGATATTTATTACTACCGCTGTAGTTATCTAAAGTCCGAAACAATCGAGGAGCTTATATTATTTCTATATACAATAAGATTCAATATTAAGGATTCTGAGGTAAAGCAGCTTAAGCAGTTCTTTATACTAGCTGAGATTGAGTCAGCGAAGGAGCAGAACGATAAATATATAGAGGATACTAAGCTTAACCTAATTAGTGATAATAAAGAGGAAGAAGGAGTAGATAATAGACTGCGAGAGATATCTCCTTATTTAATAGATATAGATATAGAGGTAATAGAGCCAGAGTTACCAGAGACTATAACTTAGAGACGGGCCTTAGGAGGAAGCGTAAGAGCAGGGTAGATAAAGATTTTAAGCAATATTAGAGAAATATATCCTGGTTTAATTATTTGATTTATTCTCTATTTTTTCTAGAAGAGCGCTGTAAGTAAAATACTCAATATTACAAGTAAAAAATATAGTAATTATACAGTTATACGCTAGAAGTCTATTTGTCTGGTTTACACTATATTAGGGCCCCAATAGGTTACCCAATAGGTTTTGGGTTATAAGCTATAACCCAAAACCTATCGTTGGGTCGAAGCAATAGACCCAAAACCTATTTTGGGTTGGGTTGGGTTGGGTTGGGTTGGGTCCGGGTTAGAGTGGGTTGTGCCGAAGTCTAGGGAAGCGGTACTTAGTGAGGTAGAAGTGATCAGTCTGTATTATAGTAGAAATATATATTGAAGATATATATCTATATATATAATATTGCTTAAAAGAAATATATTTTATTTCTACCCTTTAGATACAAGAGAATTATATCTAAACCAGTTTAGAAGGCTTTATATAATAACTAGATATACTGTCTATTTTCTGACCGAGGTCAGAAATATAGGGTTTAGAAGGCTTTGTACAATTACTGGACTATACTATCTATTTTCCGACCGAGGTTAGAAATATAAGGTTCGCTGAGGGTTTAAACGAGGTTTATTAAGGGTCCACGAGGTTCGTTATAGGTAACCCTTATAAACTAACCAATAGTAATAGTTTATTGAATAGTTTGATAGATCTACTTAGTAAAAATAGTAAATTTTAGTCCTTTACACTTTGATTATAGAAAACAATTCACTGTAAGTTATCTACTCTTTCCTAGACTGCGACATCGCCTGTCCATGGGCACTAGAAAGTGTCCACGGCCTGTGGGCCTTTTGGAAATTTGACGCCCATCGCCCACCGTTATGCAAAATTAATGCAAAAATTACTCTATTAGGCTATTTTATGTACATAACTAGTTCTTGGCAGTATCCACCTTGCCAAGAGTGCCCGCATATGTCTTGGCGACGCTAAAAGTGTCTCCACTTTGGTGGGCGTTGTCGCAGTCTACTCTTTACTACGTTTATATTTACCTATATTGAATATATCACAATTTTCTGACACTTATACTTCCTTAAACTACGAGGGGGCTTCGTTAGACGCTCTTCAATACCTTCTCCCTAATAATACACTATTTACAACCCCTTACGCGTTAGGAAGTTAATAAACCTTAATATCGGTACACGATAGTTATCAGTTCGCCCCTCTTAGCTCTTCGCAATATATACCTTTACCTCCTTATCTTACGATACTAAATCCCGACTGTATTAATTCCTTTACCTTATACTGTAATACAA